CGGGGTGTAGCTGTTACTGTTGGCACGCTGTTGACAAGTCAAGGACAGTAAATCACTTACACCCATGCAACGCTACAAACGTATCTTCCATTGTTGGTAGAGGGTAATAATCAGTTCTAGGCAACGGTCTAGGGTCACTTTGTAGTCTCCGCATATTCGCACAAACAACTACTAGAGGCGCTGCCCATTCACTGTGTTGTACTGGAACCAGTACTCCAGATTCTACTAGTGAATGCAACTCCGACGCTACTGCTTCCAAGAGTGCGAATGGCATAGGCCGATGCTTGCAGAAAACAGGCGTACAGCTGTCTTTTAGCACCAGTTTGACCGACGTTTCAGCTATCAGTCCTAGTCATTGAATAAACACTTCCAAAAATTTTTCAATGAGTACGGCTGATCTATCAATTGTGTTTGCTTTGTCAAAACTGATGTTACACACGCTTGTTCAATTCAACTTCGAAGCCTCTAGCCAGTTGCGGCCCTATAACAAAGTGTCACAATTTTTTTCCGTTCGGACTATAATCAATGGCAAGGTCTCGGTTTGCCCGTCGTGCTTTACACGCACCGTCAACTTTCCGGCAATAGCTAGTGTGGAACCGCCATACATTTTTAACCGTAACGTACATCTTTCTAGGTAGGGGTACATCCGGCCTACTGTCTGTACATTTTTTTCCGGCACAATAGACACAGATGCTCTGGTATCAACCTGCATCGTGACCTTCCTGCCTGCGATTTTAACTTTCACAGCGTAGCCACCGTGACTACTCCGACATGAAAAAATATGACTTAGCAAGACCTCATTCTCACCACTTTTATCGTCCCAGTCACCGGAGTCTTCTAAGCCAGTGCTATTTGTGAGAGAATGCACCAAACTTCGCATTGTTCTGCAGACCCTTGCCAGATGTCCCATCTTTTTGCAGGCACGACATCGATATTTGCGAAAAGGTCAGGTGGTGGCATCATGCACTGCTCCGCGCTGCGAACAGTCTGTCGACTCGGCATGTCGCTCCGCGCTACCGCTCACGCCCCTTTTCGTACCTGTGGTCTGTTGGAGTTGTGGCCGCACCAGGTTCACGTCACTGAGTTCTTTGGGGTGAATTTTTCTGGTTTATGTGCGAGCGAGTTTCCCACTTTCAACAGCTCATAGGCCGCTTAGAATGTCAGGGTACTCTTCTTAAGCAGCTCTGCTTGTGCCGTTTCATGTCTCGGTCCGGCCACAAACCAATCCCGCAGGGCGCATCCAAAAATTGCCCGAACTCGCAGGATTCAGCCAGCCTTTTTAATTCTAATGCGAATGCGGCAGCTGACTCATTTTCTAGCTGCGACAACGGTTGAACCGGAATCTTTCCGCTATCACCAAAGGCTTTGGGGAATAGTGCCCTTTCAGTATTTGGAGCAGTTCGTCGTACGTTTCCTCTTCCGGCTTGGTCGGGGCCAATAAATTCTTCAACGTGTGGTAGGCCTGTTTTCCAGTGGTGGTGATAAAGACTGACACCTTCAAGTCGTCACTGACCTGGGTCGCCCAGACGTAATGTTCAAAGCGTTCCATATATGAGTCGAAGTCTTCGTCTCCCTCTTCCGTGAATGGCTCAAACCGGCTAAAGGAAGCTATGTGGAAGTAATCCACCAAGACGCTTTCCTCTTCTTGAATACGAATGCCGTGCCGTCACTTGAGCTACAGCAGAATGCCGGCTAACGTGCCCGAGTGATCCCATTTTCGTCGCCACTGTTGTATCTTCAGTGACTCGGTAGCCAGCTAGGCAACACACACATGTTTATTGCAACTTGCAATACACGAAATGATCCAACTGCCCACATGCGGTGGGCTTATAAGCTAACAAAGAACATAATAGTGACATCAGGGAGCCAGACACTTCTATGAGCATCTTATCTTAAGTACGACATGCGCTCTATCTTAGGTGGTAGTACACAACACATATTAAGGTGAAAAGTTCAAGAACGTGGGGTGTTACTAAAGCCAATGTTTCGACAAGTGTGCTTGGCTTCTCCAAAATGCCTTGAAAGAGAGCATCCCTCCACTTTATACTTAGATTGATCACTGACTCCAGCTTGGTACCAGTTCATTTTGCACCTCTTTTATTTTTTACAAAAGGTATCATTAAATTTGGGAAAACTTAAAGTGCTCAACCCAAAGTGCTCATCCCAAAGCAGTGAAAGAAGAATGCTGTTTGGTGCTCATGCTTCTAAAGGAGTACGATAAAGAATCACCCATAGTAATTTGTGCTGATTATTGAATTCAATATTCACGCAGGCTTTGTCAAACAGTATGTTCTCACTTGTAGCAGGTTTTCTTCATTTTCTTATTCAATTATTATACTGCTGAATTTCTGGCTAGAATTTTTTTTGAAGGACCTTATGATGCCTATTATTTGTAGAAACCATACGTGCACGCTTTCTTTTTTGCCACTAATTGTTCACTTCAACACATATCTTGTGCAGTGCAGTGAAACGACAGTGTGACACTCTTGCATTCTAAGAGCTTGATTAATGGCTGCTCTCTAGGTGTTGGCCTTTGTGTTTACATTGTAGGAATACGTTCAATATGTACACAAATAAAAATATTCACCAAAAGTTTGCACGTATTCTGCTTCTAATGATACTTAACTCTGTTTTGCGTGCTCTGAACCTGCTCCTAAACATAGTTCCTCTGAGTCTGAATCTTCTCCAAAACTGACTACACTGAAACCTCATTTTTGCTCAGATTTGGGTGCACATTTAAGAATCCCAGATGGTCTGAATTTCCGGAATCCTCCACTAAGGCGTCTCTCATAATCATATGGTGGTTTTGGGACGTTAAAGCCCACATATCTACCTGAAACCTCACTATAACAAAGTTGCATCTTAAACGAAAATAAGTTCATTATATTCAAAAATTTATCAATGTATACTCCTAACACTATATCTATTGCAAGACTACTTTTCAATTAATTCTTTATAACTGATATTTCATTATGCCCGACTTTGTTATATCGAGCATTGAATGTATTTCCTGCTCCAAAAATTGCTTAGAATCCTAAACTGGCTCTACCAACATTGCTAATATTGATTCATGACTAGATAGTGATATTTGAGTGCACTATCATTTAATTCGCCTTGGTTTCATTGGGAAACTTATTCTGGGAACTTTTATTTGATATTCAAATCGTGGCATCTTCTGCAGGTGGATTAGAGCAAGGAGCAGTGCATCTTCGATTATTTTTAGCTTCACACATACGCAGGTTCTTTAGTGTGCACATTTCTCGTGTTCTTCAGTTCTAACGAGAAGAAATGACACCTAGTCACACCAAAATTCTGAGATTTCAGTTTTATTCAATGGTCACAATAACTCAAATTAATTACACTTTGTACAATGGTAATAAGCTCCAAAAGTGTGGAAAGTGGGGCACTAGTTGTTAGAATTGTGCACACACTGCTTGTGCTTTATTTTGCACTATATGCTCTGATAAATTAACAAAATGTATGCAGATATGGGCATGTGAATTATAGCCCAATAGATAACTTAGCGATCTTAGCACCAATAACATGTTTACTTCTTGAGCTTGCAGTGTTCAAGAAGGAAACCAGGCCACAGGAATACTAATGCATGAAATTTCTGGGAGCACAGTATTCCAAACCATTGTCCTTGTTTTTTATCCAGAAGACATGGGTCACCAGGCATACATTTGTTGCTACTGCATCCTAGCAGCGCACATTGCTTCTGGAGGTACTGAGGCGAGCACTCGGCAGTAAATATTATCCGCGACATCCCACTGCCCTTAGACACTGTACGCAAGACGTTCACCAACGATGAAATGCACCTCACAACTTCACACACAGCCGATAACACAAGCAAGTGCGGAACACTAACCCCTGTATTCAGAGACGCTGCTTGACTGGAAAGTGACTTGCCACCAACTTCAATGCAGCACAAATGCGTTTTAAAAGTGCTGTCTTTAGGTGAGGCCAAGGCAGCACAGACGTGTTTCAAATGCGCTGCATTGAAGGTGGTTTCAAGTCAAGTTCTAGTCAAGGAGCGTTTCTGAATACGGGGTGTGTCTTTGCAGGTGAATTTTACAAGCACGCCTTTCCATGCAGCGTTAGTGCTGCGCTGAGTAACAATAGCTTGCACCGAAGGTGCAAGGAGAAAGATTTTGGTAATAATAAAACACTGTCATGAATTCTTTGCTCATTGCACCTACATAATATTGTTGGAGAAATAAACTTCATTTGTGAAACATAACTGTTGCTTTGCTTTTGAATAAGGCTAGGTTTTTCACTATTATAGTTTGTTCCCTTCAAACATAGTCACGCTTCAACCGCAGTGCCCATAACTCCCTATGATGATGTCGCTGGCAATAGCTTCTGAGCCGCTTTTCGCCCAAAGTTTTGCGACCTATTTAGATAGGCCTTGGCATATGTACCGCGAATTTCTGAGTAGTCCCCAACGTCATGCACTGTAATTGAGCACTCCATGCAGTGCAACTTGTGGTCATTAATGGCGCCATATGAAACTAGCTTCAAAAATATGTTACTGTCTTAAACAAAAGTTAATGATTAAGCTTTCTGGAACAATTTCCCGGCGTTATGTTTTTAGGTCCACCACCTTTGTGAAATCGGAAGATGTAAAATGTGATACAAATGCAACTTTGGGGTACTTTTGCTTCCTTATATTTTATGGTAGCATGTAACAACCACCATTTCTTTTTAACAGCAGTAGTTAACAAATATAAATAAACCTAAGGATTTTAATAAATATATCATAAAGCTGGTGAAGTTAGAAATTTCTGATCATTTATTGACATGACATTGATTAAACTGGGTAAAACCAAATGAACTCTTTTCAGTTCTCAAGTACAGTCAGTATTTGGGCATGGTTTCATGATCCTTCTGGGAAATTTTTTCTTGTAGCAGTTTTGTATGCAGTTTGTGAAGGTTTCCTGAGAAATATGCATTCACTTAAGGTATAAAAGCATTTTATATGGGACATGTTCTGACTGCAGACACGAGAAGATTCAGTGACAGCCCAGTGGCGTGCCGTGTTTGTTGCAATCACGGACAGGGACCTCCTGTTTTACGACCTGGTTCCCTGGACCAAGGAGGCCTGGGCTGTGCCTGTGCACAGTGTGCCTTTGCTCCACACCAGGTATTCAATTATAATGGCAGCCACCCTTCAGACTAGTGGGGCCACATGCATTTAAGGTATTGTTTCGCTTGCACTTGTGACATCACTGTGTCTTGCACTTGCGTTGTCACATCGAAGAGAGCTGCTGTGCTTTGCAACTGAGTTGCTCTGAATTCTTTCTGAGAGATGTCCCATAAACTTAATTCGTTGTGGAGGCTTACTAGGCTCAGGCCCCTCTGAGAACAAATTTGATGCTTTTCTTTGTTTCTTGAGATAGTCTGTAATGCTTACTTTTTAGGTTTTTCATCTTTAAATGCGACTCGAATTGCATGTGCTAAAAAGTGCTGGCTCATTGAAATGCTTATGCATCATGATCTGATAGAAAACAAGCAGGAACAGATGGCCTCACAGCAGCGAGTCAACAAAACGCTCTTTGATGGATGCGTCAGCATCGAGTTTTCATGTCACGTCCATCAAAGAGCATGAAGCTGTTTACTATGCAGCAATGAAGGAATGCAGCAGTGTATCAGTCAAAGAACGCTTGGAAAGGTTAGAGTAGCAGTGAACGAGGGTGCATCTGTTTCATGCTTGGAGTGTTTTATGGGCTTTTGTTTTAATTATGCTTGATTCCAAGGTTTTCGTGGTGGCTTACAAAATATAGGTAGTGTTACACCAACTGAAGCAACAATTAAAAAGTTGGCTAATGTTATTTAATAAAACAATATTTAGCAATAAAAAAAGAGAGGTTGTAGGTACACATGATGACCACTAATATATGGCAGGCACAATTTCACGAGAGGGCATAGCCTTTCTCAATCTTGGTCTGGGTTAGCTGGGAAGCCTGGTGTATTATAAGGTGTTTCACATAACAACAACCACGTATTTAAAAGAAATGGTGGTTAAGCACAATTCAATGAAACCAACAGCATATGGTCTGCCACAATACATTGTAACCAATGGCGTATAGTCAGTCATCATGTGGTGCTCGTTCGGTCATTTTTTATATTGTGCTTAATTTATTAATTAACCAGATCAATAATTCAAAATATTCAATTCAGTTAAACCTTGATAAAACAATGTTGATGAAATTTTCAATTTGCTTCGTTATACCGAAACTTTGTTTGAAATACAACCTTTTACAGCTAAGTATAGTTGCAAAAGGTTTTTTTTTACGTGAGAAAGGCCAAAAGAATGTTTGAACAATATGGCATTCAAAAAATTAATCTCAATAAAGTGAATTAAATTAGTTTTCTTGCTAAGGCAAGTTGCCGGGCTAAAGTACTCAGCTGCTGACCCGCAGGTCGCGGGATTGAATCTACACTGCGGCGGCTGCATTTTCAATGGAGGCGAAAATGCTGTAGGCCCGTGTGCTCAGATTTGGGTGCACGTTATAGAATCCCAGGTGGTCGAAATTTTCGGAGCCCTCCACTACGGCATCTCTCTTAAACTAATGGTGGTTTTGGGGCATTTAACCTCGCATATCTATCCATCAAGGCACGTTGCCGGGCTAGTTGTTTGGGGTTCATCACTCATACGTGTATAGCGCACCACGACAAGGACACAAAAAGAGAGACAAACACAGCACTAATTTGCGAATAGTATCTTCTTTGCAATCACACATGCTATTTATACAATAACAGTAGACCGATAAAACCTAGAAAACATCATGTTAAAATAGAGCACAGCTCATGCACGCGTTATCATTGATTGCGACAATCTGCACTCGCCAACATCAAAGTGAAGATTTTAGATACCTCTTTTCTTTAGCTGACAAAGCTATGAAAGCCACACACATGATGTTTTCTAGGTTTTATCGGTGTACTAATATTGTATAAATAGCAGGTGTGATCGCAAATAAAACATTAGTTGCAAGTTAGCGCTGTGTGTGTGTCTCTTTTTTTGTGTCCTTGTCGTGGTGCACTCTACCCGTATGAATGATAATTTTCTTGATCCTGAGATCTGGTCACATCGACTTCATGTTGCACTGGTGGAAAGCTCTTCACAGCAGCCATAGTCGCGATGGTAACGTAGAATAAGCAGAGGTATCGTGCCAGTTTTGCCGCCACGGCTTACCATGAAAACCTTGGCTGTTGTGGGGAGTAGTTGCTGCCGATGTTATCATGTTTACTGAATGCCTTGCTTTCTACTGGCTTTGATGAACACATAACCTCAATAACCATCGCATGCCACAAAACGATATAAGGCTCTCAATAAACGAAAATCTGTTTAACTGAACTGCTGCTTAAATGGAACAGCTGTCTATGATATGATTGGTTTTACACCTGAATTGTGTGCTCCTCTTCATATCTCAGTATACAGAACTTTTGTTAAGCGGAATATATTTTTCTGGCCCTTCTTCATTTTCAGTAGCTTTAATGAAAGTGTACTGTAACTGCAGTAGACTCTCGTTGCCAGCCAGTTGGCGTGCATGATGGTGGAACTTGTCGCGAGCGCGGGCCAGGAAACTACTGCCAACTTAACAGCCTAGTGCTGCAAAGGATCTAGCCAGGCACTGCCGCAGCTGGTTTTGTTCGCTCAAACCACAGCTGAGAGCAGCACGTTTGCAGCGCGCGAATGCACTAGTCACGTGGGTTCTTTTTTTTTTCCTCCCCCCCCCCCCCCCCCGGGCTTTCTTTGCAGCTTGGAAAAAATTATACATGTGGTACTTTATTTATGGCCAATAATGCTGACACTCTCACACTTTGCAAATTTAATTTGTTGCCTAAAGTTAATATTTAACTAATTAGTTAACTAATATTAAATAATAAATTAATTACAAAAATGTCTATAGTGTACAATTAAAGTGGTTTTCAGCAATATGCAACCTATTTCACTCAGCTTCTTTTAATACTGTATTTTTCAACCCTTTGCTAAATAGCTGGGAGAGCCCATTTCGAGGAGAAGTTTGAAATGCTGGTGGGTCTCCGCAGGCTTGTGACAACAAGTTCTGGCAGGGCCTCCGTGGGACCATCTGCTGGGAATGAGGCAACCACACTGACTCTGCGACTTGGCACACGTCAGGGAGTGCAGTCACGGCTCATGCGTGTTGAAACACACCGAGACTTGGCAGTGTGGGCCCGTCACCTGGTTCATGGCGCCCATCTTGCTGTGGCTGCTGCTAAGGAAGTACGCTTTGGTGAGCATCTACTTTTTGTATGACATTAACACATTGGTCTTCATGAAAATTAGCAGCATAGGAGGCTGTCAAGTAAGTCAGAGGGACTGCCAAAATATTGTGATGTCCTGCTTCCACGTAAATTTCTTGTGAGAAATGACATCAAGGTGCAGTACAAACACTGAAGACAAAAACAAAACTGGCTGTAGGAAAGCATTGTATTAAAGTGCCCTGAGGCACCGCTTTTTGTACAGAGTAGAAATTCACATCTGCCTTGCAGCCCATGTACCATAAGCTTGTTTGCTGTACATTAAATAGTGATGCCAGAAAAACATAGAACAAAGATACTGCTTATTTCATATGATTTGAAATTTGGACAGCTTTTTCGTCATTTGACATGCCTTCCATCAGCGGAAGATGTTACTGTTATATTCACTCAAGTTTTAATTAATGCAAGCTAGACTGCTGGGTATGCAACTTTTTGTAGTTTTCCAGACAAGTTGCTGTTGCTGCTGTAAAGCTGCCTTTCGTACAGCCCAGGCTCAGGTTGCCGTCACTGTCTGCTGCTGCCTGCCTTGCTTTATAACTAGATGCTGCACTGTGGAAACAGCAGACATCTTGGTAGCAGTCATAGCGTGCAAGAATATCCAGGCTCGTTGCAAAGCTCTTTGTTGTAACTATGGTAACACAGTAACAAGAAAATTCGAAAGTTATCAAAGTAGATTTTCGTTGCGTCCATTCGGAGTGCCAAAGAGGTACATAAAGTTTCTTTCGGCACAGGTATACATATTATAGAAGAAGATAGTACCCCTCCGATCATACATATTACATTGAGCAAGCTCTATGGTCATTATCACAAAGTGGATTGGAAGGACACAAGAATTCACAACTTTATTCACTGGACAATGCCATGTGTGGCACATAATTGCTAGAGGGGCAGCATTACACTAGTTACATACCAGGCTTTGCGCGCACGCGTACAATTCCCTCACCAGACCTGCTTTTGAATATGCCTCCATCATTTGGCACCCACATCATGCCTACTTGTCTAACATACTCAAATCAGTTCAAAATAAAGTAGTCCAGTTCATCTTGTGCTCATATTCACGTTACAAAAGTGTATCCACTTTGGAGAAATTATTAAATCTTGTTAGTCTTGACTAGCAACAGAAAAAATTTACGCAATTGTCGTTCTTTTTAATCTTTATCATGGTAACACCCCATTTGCTTGAGCTAATGTTCTGCTTCTTCCATTGTATCAATTCGGAGAGACCACGTTTATAAAATAAAATCTATACTTGTCCGAACCAACTTTTATGTAAGTGCGCTTTTAATATTACCGATTGCAGAACGAAACTCTTTACTTTCATCTATCATGTTGCTCACAGAATCGTCATGATTTCAAGTTGCCCGAATAGCGTTTTTGGAAGGAAACACTCTGTAGCCTAAAGGTGTCCACGTATTTAGTAAAAACATATCTTCTACATTAAAAATGTGTATTGCTACATTAACAATAGAGTTTTGTTTTGCCTTGTGTATCTTTTTCGAACTTTTCTGATGCCTCCTCTGTATTGCGTCTTATTATTTACAACTTTTCTTATGTAGCTGTGTTCATTGCTTGACGAGAACGATGATACTGGAAAAAAGTCACAGTTTCGCTGAGGGGCGAAGCAATGAATGCGATAGCAACAACTTCAAATGTAATGCTGAGACGGGCCAGCAGATCAAAACATGCAGTGCGCTGCTCACGCACAAATGACGCATTAAAACAAAACACACAGGACGAGGATGAACCAAAAACGTTTACAGCTTGACACTTAACGCACTGTTTAAACAAAAATGACACACGAAACGTAATCCAGGTACAGATGAGTGAAAACTAACAAATGTTCCAGTTGTTACTTCGCTGTGTATGAAAAGTGCGCTCTTTTCGCAAACGGGGCCTGTGCAACAAGCGAAAAGACTGAAGGCGTGCGATTCTCCCCTACCGAAGAGTAAGTGCATCGCAGCGACCTGGGCGTCGAGCTACGCTGAGCGTGCATATTGCGCCATCTCGCTGGTAATGCTGAAAACAACCTATCGCTTCCGAGATCAGAAGCTCCAGCAATAAGTGGCAGATATAAATAGCGTGCCGTTTCAACGGTCAAGGAGGTGCTCTCTGGTGGCTCAGTGGTTAACGCCTTGCGCTCACAAAAGACAGGTCAGACATTCGATTCCGTGCGCTGGAGTCTTTTTTGGATTGTTTTTCTTTCTTGCGTTTTCATATATATAGATACATGTACATATACGGTGAATGACACCAACAGCAAAAACCAGCTAAGAGTGTCCATATAATTGTAAAACACTGAAATTATGTTAATTAAACTATATTGCAATTTGTATGTTGACTCTCACCTGTAAATGTTCACACTCCTAGAGTACTCATAAAATTAAATAAATAAATAAGTAAATAAATAAATGCACAACTAGGGCTCTGTGTTGTTGGAGTTCATTTTGGAAAATGTTTTTCATAGTTAATTTTTTTGGAGGAAATTGGGAATTTATGAAAGTTTATTTCTCATAAATGTCCAGCTCTTCGAAAGTTGGAGTTAATTTTGCGCTATCAGATTGTGAAATGTGTTCTTATTAATTTTATTTTTAATTAAAATGTGTTGCATTGTCACTGATAATCTTGTCTTTTTATTCTTTCAGTTTTTCTCACTTCTTTTTAATTTACCCTGTTGGTAAACTTACAGGCTGTTGATATGTACTGCTGTAAATTCGCTGTGTTTCATTTTGGGGTGAGGTGGAGCTGGTAAAGCTAGCTGCTTCTGCTTTTTGCTTCCAGCCTCTCTCATCTTATTGGTTAAAAATTAAAGAAATATTATTATTATTATTATTATTATTATTATTATTATTATTATTATTATTATTATTATTATTTTCCCACTACTATGAAATATTAGATGAAATGATATCTTAAAATGAAAACATGTGAACACCCCAAGTGTATTTTAGATATCCGAAAGCAAACACACACACACACACTGCGGCGGCTGGATTTCCAATGGAGGCGAAAATCTTGTAGGCTTGTGTGCTCAGATTTGGGTGCATGTTAAAGAACCTCAGGTGGTCGAAATTTCTGGAGCCCTCCACTGCGGCGTCTCTCATAATCATGTGGTGGTTTTGGGTCGTTCGTTAAACTCCACATATCAATCAATCAAATCACACACACACATGCACACGCACACACACACACACACGCGCACACACACACAAGCACAAGTACTTGACTAGAAAACACCTATGTTTGTTTGTATTGCAACCTCAAAGCTTGTTGTAAACAATACAAGCATGCTTAACGAGGGTACTTCCACTGATCGAGGTGCATTTTTTTCCAATTTATAATTGTCACCTTTGAAAGTGCCTTTTTAGCACTGGAAATGTCCTAATAAAATTGGAGTTTATTGTATAAATTTAAAATGTCAGGAATTTTACTAGCAAGTGTTTATAAAATTTTTTTGGATTTATCTGAAAATATGAAGACCTATGTATTACTGACTGAGAACTATAGATTATCCACTTAACCGTTTAGTTTTTTTTAGAGTTTTTCTGTCTAAAAAGATTTTTTTTTTCCGACTTGATATTGAATATATCACTTCTCAAAAGCATGTGTTGATTGTTGAAAAAAGATTTGTAAGTGTAAATTAAGCCAAATTAGCATAATGAAATTTATTATCTCGTAGCCTATTCATGTCATTTCATGATTCACAAAACAATTTTATTGTTAACAAACTAACACCTATAACACATGAAGTTGTTAAAGCAAACTTCAATATTTTAATAATTAGCACCTGAAGGGCTGTACAATGACTAAACACTTTTTTTTTCATGATGATGCATAACCATCATGCACATTGTCTTCACTAGACAACATTTTCTAAATGCAAGTCATTAAAAAAAGTTTGAAATAGCAGCTAATAAAATAAAAGAAATTGCTAAGCAAGGGCTGCCATCTGTGGAGCAACACACCAACTAGCTTAGAAACGAGCGAGTCTCATTCGAGACACTCAAGGGGAGGTATTATCTCAAGTGAAGGATCCACATTTGTCCAAAACAGTTTGGGCACAACCTAAGGGGCCTGTGAAACGCTTAGGTTCGGCAGCCCCCTCCTCGGGGTTCTGTGAGCCACTGATAAATTTTCCCTTGGTTTCGCACTTGCCCACTCAGCTCACTTGGATGGCGATCCCGAAGTGTGATCGATCCAGGGAATCTCTATTATTCACACCTGAGCATAAATAAGCACATCTCAGTGTGCAACAGAAATGCACCAGCTGCACATTAAGTCCTGCCAGCAGTTTGTAGCCAGCCAGACTCTGAAAATGGGACACATGGTGGCTTGAATCTTGGGGACCTTATATTACCATCATGCACATTTCAGCTATTAGAAAACAGGTGCCATTACGCCTAGGCTCTGCACCTCTGCTATGCTCATTTGTCCACCACAATCATTGGCCCCGCATACACTGCACACCACGCTTAGCCCTCTAGGCACAATTGTGCGTCGTTCAACATGAGAAAGAAAGCCGAACATAGAGCTTACTCCGAAAGTTTTTTGCAGTACAGATTATGAATTAATTGAAATTGATCAATTCATGAATTCACTATAATTCATAAAAAAAGCTCGTGGGGGAGGGGGAGTCCTTGGCACCTAATGTAGCTTATCACGTTTCCCTGGCACCAACATGCTTGAGAACCCCTGCTCTAGAGTCTGTTATATTAACTCTATGGCTGCGACAACTTCTTCCCATTGCTTTTTTTTCCCGTTTGTGTTGACGGGTAGCCTTGCTACCATTCCTTGCATATTCATGTATGCAAATCAAATATGAATCAATCGTTTATTTAATGGGCCCAAGAATAGCCACAAGGTCTTTAGGCAGGTGCACACAAAAGTAAACCATACAATACAGAGAGCCTTCAGACAAAGAAATCAAACAAAAAGAGTGAATATGCACAGACAAAAAGAGATCAACACAAAATGG